TCCACAGTTTTTAGACGTGCAGTAAAGATCTCCAGTAATAAATACTGCAAAGGAGGATGGGTCAGCTGCCTATGGGAGTAAAACATAAGTATTCTTGGAGTGGTGAGAAGCATGGGGCTTTCAAATGTACCTGACTTTGCTAAAGAGGGCCACACCAGCACCAAAATTCTTCATGGCTAGACTGAAATAAAAGGATTTATTATGCAGCCCTCCTTCAAGACGGACGGGCAGAGAAAATATCATATACATGCTGAGGGTATGGAAGAAAGAACTATTTTTATCAGCTGCACTGCCACAGGCAGTTCTCAAGTACAACTTCAAGCACACAGTGCACTTTGTCCTTTGGTAAAAACACCCAGAGATACTTTGCTAATATCATGTCTCAAAACCGACTGTAAGTAAAGCTAAAGGCACAAAACCACTCTTTGGTGGCAAGGCCAGTTCAAGACGTATTCATATTCTTCCCCCAACAACTTCCCCTCCATACAGTTTGCAATTTCCTCAATTCAGCTATTTTTCGTAGGCAAGCTATAAAGCAGACTGTGGGTACTTCTGCAATTGAAAAAGGTCTCCAGGACAGATTTGTAATGCCTTTGCTTCAGTCCACAACATCAGCACTCACACAATAGAAAAGGAGGTGAACTGCAGTGCAGAGATGGAAATGGGGAGAAAAAGAGGTAAAGAAATTCTTTATCAGGAAATCATCCCTTACATCTAACACTGATGTACATCTGACCCTCCAAAATACACTGGTTCACATCGCTGGCCGGACAGAAGGACTAAAAAGTAATTAGAAAAAAGGAAAAAAAAAAAAAAAAAAAGAGAACGAAGTTCTCCCAAGTCACCTCGTTTCAGCATCAAGTATCAGCCCCACTGTGCTGGAGAGAGCAGGATCACGCAGGCAGAGAAGGGTGAGAAGCCAGAGGAGATGGCACACCGAGTCTCACTGGCATCACTTTTTCAAGAGTGGCCCCAGGCGCTGTGGGATAAGGGAGGTTAGGCTATGTCTGAAATACTCCTCAAAGTCAATGACATCTGAAGGCATTACTAAAGGCATCAACAGCAGCTGGATTTATTTCTGCTGAATTAGGCATCAACAGCTGAACAAATCCTCACACTGACTCCACGAGGGATTTCTAAGGCTTTGGTCAGAGTCTGGAAATTCCACTCTAAATTGTAATTTCTACCTTGGTTGGTACAAACATCAGAATTACTGGTTTGTAAACCCCTGGATCTCCCCCAGAATTGTTTCTGAAGAAGTTGACATCCCATCTTTTTTTGCTAGCCGGAGTTAAACCACGACACAGGCATTTTCCGGTCCACTTGTACTGAGGGAGCCTTCCCTCACAGCTTACACAGCACATAAGCAGTTCAGCTATCATTAGCTCATCTATCATTGCCGAGTTTCTCTCGGAGCTTTTATGAATAGCACTCGGGCCTGAAGAGCTGTTATTGGTAAAACTGTCCATTTCCCTTAGCGTTTTCCACTGAAGATTTGGATCTCTACCATGGTTGAGGAGATCTCTGCAAAGAAATGTTTTGGCATAGTAACTGTCAAAGGTTCCTCCATGTGAAAAGAATTAATTCAGGGTGTTTTGCTGCTACGGCGTCATCACTTGTGCGTGCTGCTCGTGCCCCCCAGTCTGTCCTGGGTCTGCAGCCCTCGGTAGGATCCCTGTTCCACGGTGAGCAGGTGTACGTGTGAGGGGGTGTACATGCACCTGTACGTGTCAGCTTTTGTACTTGTTAATGGTTCTTTGAAATCATAATCCTCCTCATTCTGCTCACTTGAAAATTACTTCAGATTTGTTTTAAGGACGCCCTCCTCCTCTGCCTTACCTTCCTGTCCAAGCTCCTGACTTCTTTTAGGTTTCTTTTATGGAGAAGTGGAACACTTCTGCTTAGAGACAAATGACCTACATCTGTAGTTCATGGCATCTGCAAAGCTCTTTGCTCCTTTGGCCGTTCCTTTGAGCTTTATTTTATCGATTTCTTTGTTTGTCTAAAGAGTTAATGATAACTTTTGGATTGTTAACACATGAATGTTAATTCCCTGATATATAAGCAGAAGCATTGTTTAAGAATGGAATATACTAATTCAGTCTAACAATTTTATGTCTATTTATTAAAACTGAATTAGCAGCTTTTATTTAAAAAAAATACAATTCCTTTCTAACCATGATTTCTTTTCCTGTGCACTACTTAAACAGTTTAGCAGCAGCAAAGGAATTAATTTAGTAGATAATGCTACTGACATTTCAGAAACACTCCTTTTTCTGCAAAAAGAATCTGACAGACCAGATCAAATCCAGACCACATAAAATATAAACCTACCACAGCGGTTTACTAGATCATGGAATTACTGATCTACCTGACAAATGGTACACACAGATATATCCCCAGTGTTAGAGATTTTAATAATTCAGGTTGGATACAATTCATTTGTACCATTTGTATGTTGTTCTTTCAGCTCAACGTGCAGACACCTTGCAACACCACTCCCCAGGCTCCTAACGTTCAAAATGACTTAACAGCAATTCCCGACTGTTTCACGTAGGCAGTGCTAGCCTAAATATTCTAGAGTAAGTAAAATTAACAATAAAATTGGCGTAATGGCTAAATAAACCAGTTTCATATCCATAATAAGAAAACTCTCAAGCATTTGGCTGATGAGAAATGCATCATGCGCTTCTCAAAAGCACAGTGCTAACTACAGTAGTAAGTGAAAGATGCAAACCCCCTGGTCATTATGCAGATAGCATTCCACACTATAAATCTTCAGCTCCTCATTAGGTTGAGGCCATAAAACCCTTGTCTATCCTGCACAAAATTAAGAATCCAAGGGTGTAAGGCATAAGACTAAGGCTGTGCTGTGGTCTTAATTCTTGTCCATTTTCCTTTGTTCCCATGTTTTAAAATGACAAAATATTAAACATTTCTTTACCATACTGTAATTATTCTTCAAGAATAACATCACCATAGAAGGGAAAAGCTTAGGGAAAACATGTGCAAAAGATACTAATCATGGAATCATAGACTCTTCTAGGTTGGAAAAGACCTTTAAGATCAAGTCCAACCTTGAACTCAACAGTGCTAAGCCATGTCCCCAAGTGTCTTATCTTAACATACTTGAAATCCCTCTCAGGACGGTGACTGCAACACCTCCCTGGGCAGCCCATTCCAATGGCTGACAGCTCTTTCCATGAAGACTTTTTCCCTAATATCCCATCTAAATCTCCTCTGGCATAACTTGAGGACGTTTCTTCTTGTCCCATCACCTGTCCCTTGGGAGAAGAGACCGACCCACTCCCTCTGTACCCTCCTTTCAGGGGGTTGTGGGGAGCGATAACGTCTCCCCTGAGCCTCCTCTTCTCCAGGCTGAACTCCCCCAGCTCCCTCAGCCGCTCCTCACAGGAACTGTGCTCCAGACCCTTCCCCAGCTCCGTTCCCTTCTCCGGACATGCTCCAGCCCCTCAGGGTCTTTCTTGGAGGGAGGGGCCCAAACTGACCCCAGGATTTGAGGTGCAGCCTCACCAGTGCCCAGCACAGGGGTCCGATCCCTGCCCTGCTCCTGCTGGCCACACTGTCTCTGATGCCGGCCAGGATGCTGTTGGCTTCTTGGCCACCTGGGCACATGCTGGCTCATATTCACCCGCTGTTGATCAACACCCCCAGTTCCTTTCCATCAGGCAGCTTTCCAGCCCCTCGTCCCCACACCTGAAGCGCTGCCGGAGGTTGTTGTGGCCCAAGGGCAGGACCCAACACTTGGCCTTGTTGCCCCTCACACAGTGGCCTTGGCCAAGGGATCCAGCCTGTCCAGATCCCTCTGAAGAGCCGTCCTGCCTTCGGGGAAAACAACACTCCCACCCAACTTGGTGTCATCTCAAACTGACTGAGGCTGCCCTCGAACCCCTCGTCCAGGTCACGGGTAAAGATACTCAACAATCATATATATATTCAGGGGCATGTAGGTGAAATTTGTTTGTTTTAAATTGCAATTTGGAAAAATAACATGGGCAATAGATTTTACTTACACCGCATACATAAAGCTGTTGGTTATGGAAGTGATTGGTTTACTACATTACCAACCAATAAAGTTTTGATTTTATTTCAAATATAGAGGGCCAAAACAATATTCATATACATGCTGACCTAAGTAATCCCATTTATTTTACCAGAGATGCTCACACCAGTAATTTAATTTTTCTTCTTGAAAATATCAATTTATTTACTCTTTATACTCAAGTAATTAAGAAAAAAAAAGGGCATATTCATACTGCAGAGAATATTGATTATTGTTACAAGGAAAAGTCAATACAGACACAATGTAGCAAGCAACTGCTAGATACATTATAAGTTATAAATCTGCCAGACTTTTGAAATGGACTGAAATATATAGTGTCAGTTTTCAGAGGAAAACAGGCAGCCATATTTTACAACTTCCTTGTCAAGAAGTTTTTATACATGGGCTCTAATGAAATACGATTCTTTCATGCAGAACTTTTCACTGAACTGGTTCCAAGGTTTGAGACAATCATCAAAAGGTAGGCTTTTTGTTCTTGTTTTCTAGCAAGTAAGAGACTTCAAATATGAGATTTTTAAAAATTCTTATCACTAGCCAGATTTCTAGCCCAGAAATATTATGGCCTACCTAGAAATATGAAGTAATTAATTTCTAGAATTAATTTATAACTTCTTAACAAAGAATAACCAAATTTAGTAAATGGACCTAGACTACCATAATATTCTTCCACCCTCTGAAAAAAAGACAGTAACATCCATGCACAAGAAGACATCATATTTGCAACCTTCAGAAAGGTTAGGCTCTTTCTAATCAGCTGTTTTTCGGACAGTTACTTGACTAAAATGACATAATATTAACCAGTAATTAAAAAAAAAAAAAAAAGAGAACTATTTCCCTCTTCTACCACGTTTGAAACAAGTCTGAAGACACAGTTGTTAGAAAATCCTGAGACCTCTACAAAAGTTTCTGAACTTACAAATCGCTGTGCCTTCTGACGCTCCTCCTCTGTGGCAGCTCTCTCTCGAAGAATGGCTCGAGTCAAATGTTCGTTTGAGGAAATCCTTTCTCGTTCCAGAAGTTTGCCAAACTCATCGCGTACATACATTTGTTCTTGTTTCAATCTACAGAAGGTAGAAGGAAATTTAGATTGAAGGTATCCAAACATAGTTTAAAAGGACACAGGCACAGTTGCTTTAAAAGCAGTCACTGTAATATATTATTATCAGCTTCCTGAGACACCTAAACATGAATATCCACTGAAAGATCCAGAAGTTTATTTCAGATTTAAGTGTCAAAAACAGAATACACAAAAGCCGTGAGCCTTAGTATCACTATTCATTAAATTCTAAAAAATACAACGAATTCAAGAGCTTTATGAAAACATATCTTTAAGTAACAAGAATATGCACAAAGCTCGGTTGGTTGGTTGGTTGTGTTCTGTTTTTAAGGATCCCTTTTTTTCCAGGAAGATCCTTCTCCCCACCACCTGGTGGGCACCCTATTTCCAGCTAAAAGCTCCATTCTTTTCTGCAATGAGATAATGCTTTCCTATCTCTGGACATACCATAAACCTAAATACTGGATCCATTTACCAAGCTGCAAAAAGACCAAACAACCATAATAATCCTTCCCGGCCACTTGAGAGGATGAGACGAAAATAGCTATCGAATTTGTTGCAGAGTTAATACAGGTAACTCCAGCCCCAGAAAATTCTCAATATTTTTACGTCACAAACGATAAATATATTTGAAATCTTCACTACTGAACTCGGTACAAGCACACCATATCCAATTTTCATGAAAATACATCGATATAAATTGCTTAGCTAATAAAACTTATCTGCTTCATGTATGTTATGACACTGAACACCAAGTCAGCATTACAGAACTCAGAATAGTAACGGCAGTATCAAACACCAGTTTTCAAATAGATTTTTGAAAGAGTGATGTAGAGGAAGCTTAAGTATTCTCAATGCATTTATCCATTGTCAAGGGAGCTTCAGAGAACAAATCATAATGAGTAGGGTCACTTTGTAAAAGGTACTAGCATTACAGTACATTAGATTCTTCCCTGGGGAAAATATTTAAGTGAGGTGGGGAGGAAAAAAGACAATTACAAGACGTATTACTTGTGAGCTCAGACATAACCCCCTGAAACACAGCAACCAACTGGGAATCTTTATAAAAAGTTTATTAAGCAGCATCTTAAATTACTCTAGCAAAAAAAAGCCAGATTATGCAGACATGGACCAAATTCCATTAAGTGATTTCCCAAGGTCCCCCAAATTATTGCAGCAGCATTGATATAACAAATCCTTCACACAATCAATGGTTCAGTCAAAACACGCTGGTTGTCTTTTCGATTGGAAAAATCATGTTTTGTCTAAAAAAGAAAAAAAAGTGTCAAAATAGAAGTCTCAGAAGCTTTTTTTCTAGTGAGAGACAGCAAAGAACACATTTAGCATTTCCAGAGACTGAAGCAAGCTCCTTCCTCATCCCTTCTGGATTTCACTTCCCACAAGTGATTTTCCCCTTAAAATGTCTCTTCTTTATGCACAGTGTACACACCAGAGCAATTAAAGTACATGAAATCAGATAATATCCGAAAAAGATGGCCGAAAGTTTCCACATTAAAAACTCTCTAAAATTAAGAAAATACTCAGATGTTTACATCTAATTCTTGGCAAATTATTCCCATATTTGACACAAGCTCGGCCTTCTCAAGCCTTCTCCTTCTTGCCCCTGGAATCTGAACCTCCACGAGGTCTCCTCTCAACCTCTCTTTTGTAAAGAAGAAAGTCAGTTTTCCTAACACTTAAAAATAACAGGCTCCTAACGTCAAGATAAACCCTTTGATGGCTTCACCTGACTGCTGTCACCTTCAGCCTCCCTGCTAAGTACACTACAGAGGGATGGGATGTTCTTTTCTACTTTTGCCAAAACTCTGTGTGTCCTTTGCTGCCAACTTGCTGCAAGATGATGACCCAGAACTTTGTCTACATACACAACTCATCTGACTCCCCACCCTACTGCGGAGCGGTTGAAAAGGCTTTTCATGAGAAGCTCTGGCAACCCACAGAATTAGCAGACAATGACACAGCTGTGGGTACGGCCACACCAGCAACAGAAGCGATGGCGATACAATGCTGGTTTCCCACAAGCAGAGAACTCAGGGTAAGACTTGCTATTTCAGCTTTAACCAGCCCATTTTAAATTACTCAGTGCATCTTGATACTACCTTGTAGCAATTCCAGTTCTAATTATCTTCTTGGCCATGACAGCTATATCCTAACACAGCAAGAGAGGCAAGGATAGGAATAGGACACCCAAAACTGGCACCCAGAAAATTACCACCAAAGTTATATAACCCCATGCCTGATCTGATAATAGTTTCCAAGCACACCATGTGATAAAAATCCCAGAAAAAGGATTCTGTGGCAGCCTTTGCTGGCAATCGCATCTCACTGTCGGTGCCAGACCAATCTGCAGTGGAACTTCCATCGCAATGGGGTAACTGATGGGGAGAGCAGGGAGAGACTCTCACTTCCAGCTCCCACCTTTGGAAACAATGCTTTTAAAAAATTACTATCCACCCACCTCCTTTTCCCCACTCCACATGCAAAATGAGATTACAAAACAGCTAAGTGATGTGTTCTCTCCCAATATCTGAAAATTAAAACCAGTATTTAATACTAGCTAGCTCATTGATACCGATAACGATGATGTGAAAGATCTTATCTAGTTTGTTCATAACAAATGCAGTTTTCTTAGTTACTGATTGCCCTTTTCCCATAAAGCGTGACTTCTTGATGCCTTAAAAATGCACTTATCATGGTGCAAAAGTCAGTAAATATATCCAAAGACAAAACTAAGAATTCACCAGGTCATCCAGTAGTTAACGGTTGTTAAGCAGTAACGCTTTGCACAAATTGATCGACTATGGATTTGATGGGTCAACCACTCGGTAGATAAGGAACTCGCTGCATGGTCACACTCAGAAGAGTTGTGTTCAATGGCTCGATGTCCAGCAGGAGACCAGTGAGGAGCAGCATTCCTCAGGAATCGGTACTGGGACTGGTGCTGTTTAACATCTTTGTCAGTGACATGGATGATGGGATCGACTGTACCCTCAGCAAGTTTGACAATGACACCAAGCTGTGTGGTGCGGTTACACGCTGGAGGGAAGGGATGGCATCCAGAGGGACATGGACAGGCTGGAGAGGTAGAACCGTGCCAACCTCATGGAGTTCAACAAGGCCAAGTGCAAGGTCCTGCACCTGGGTCAGGGCAATCCCAGCACAAGGACAGGCTGGGTGGAGAATGGATAGAGAGCAGCCCTGAGGAGGACTTGGGGGTGCTGGTTGATGAGAACCTCAAGATGACACAGCAATGTGCAATTGTACATTGCCTTCTACTCCCCCAGAAGCATCCTTTTTTGGTTAAGTGAAAAAAACCCCAAACAATCCAGACCATCTTTATACTTTAAACCACACCAAAATAAAGAAAATGAAAACTTCAACCTAACTTTTAGGAATTCTCATATTGGCCTCTTGGCTTTCTTTGGTTCCGTCTTGTGGACCTTTTGATCAACTGCAATCCTTTTTGAAGACAGCTATTCAACCAGCAACATGTGGAGGTCTTTCCTGCATATCTTTTCTTCTTGTCAGGCTCAGAGAGTTCTAGAGAGTTCTCACTGATTTGTCTTTACAATTCTGTGTCTTTCAATTTCCAGCCCTCCTCTACATTCCTCCTCCTATCCTCTACAGGAAGTGTCTATCAGCTCTTCATTTCAGCTGGCTTAAGTAGACGCCTCCTACGGTCAAGGCATACCTGCTGACATCCCAATGCAATTCTGCAATTTCTGCGCTCGTCTCCAGAAGAAAAAGCTTGCTCCTTGACTTGCAGTCAGCCCCTAGTGAAAGCAGATCCCCACCTTGCTGCGTCTATACACTCAAAGGTTTGGCAACGTCTGTGTATCCAGCACTGCCAATGCGTTTAGAAGAGTAGTTTTAGTAAACTGCCAGATGAAGACACTCAAGTCACCGCAGTCAAAGCTGGACAGCAAACATTTAACTGCTTGGGGTTTTTTTCCTCCTTGCCTGGCATTCTATCATAAAAGAAATTTACACTATTCCATGATCAAATTTCATACAGTTTAGGCCAAAATGGTATTTGTTTAATGTTCTTCAGAAACATCCATGACTGCGTTGCTTACAGCAGCACCTTAAAGCAAAACTTCAGTCTTTCCTATCTACACAAATTCTCATTTCTGTGATGAGGAATGTATCCCATCATACCTACAGAACAAAGCAGTAGTTAACTTACTGAAGCACTCACTAGACTTCTTCAGTTAAGGCAACTTTTATTCACAAAACAACTGCTCAATACCCATCTCAACTGATTTAAATTCACCAGAGTTTTAACAAAAGGGCTAGGATTTTGAAGTAATTTTCATTTATTTGAGTTGCATAATTGGGTGGCTTGTAGGAGCTTAATGAAACAAACACCAGGCAGATACGTGCTGATCTCAAACATTTGCTTGCATCAACTTACAGTAGTTTTCTTCTTTGACATTACAAATTCATTTTACCGGCATTCAGCACGTACTGCTGCTGAATAAAGGCAAACATCAGCTAAATCTACAGTAATAAATTATATTATTATCTAGCCAAGAGAAAAAAAAAATATATATAGATGGATGCACAACTGCAATTTATAAGTATTTAAATAGCACAACTTGTCAGTACAGTCCACTACTCCAAGAATTCCACATAAATAGACCACTTAAATTGACATTTTTAATTACAACACATACAAAGGCTCACTATAATGGTCCCCACGTTTTGTGTTGGAGCACAAAGCTCCAGTTAACAGACAAGAGATATTAAGCGATACACTGATCATTTATACAGAAAGAAAAGAGGTGCTTGAAAAAAAGGTGCTGAAGCAGCAGCGAAGGATGCTGGCTACACATTTTTTCTACAGAGCTGATAGTTTGAATAAAATACTACTAAATAATTATGAAATACCGTTTCTATAAGTGTACACCTATTTAGTTACAGCAGCTGATTTAATGAAATAAAGTATGCAGTGCTATCACTTTCCCATAGCGCTATTGGAAG